GCACTCAAATACTTTTTTCATTATGTAATAATAATAATATTAATAATAATTTTTTAGTTATTAACGCCCTTATATACAACGAACCGAAAGAACGTTGTTCTTTTTCGATAAATTTTTTTTATTAATATAAAGTTTATTAGTATTTTAAAATTCCCCCTCCCCCCCTCCTACCTCCTTTCTTTCTTTTCTCTCTGTGACTAGAAATATACATAGTAAACCGCGATTCGAATGCCAAGTTTTTTAACCAGACTCAACATTCGACGAGGAAAATCTTTTGTTTTTTACTTAATTGTAAAATTAATGAATTTTAAATACTTTAAAATTAAAATAATAATAATAATAATAATAATAATAATAATAATAATAATAATAATAATAATACAGAGTAAATTAAATGGTTAAAATGCCTATCCATGTAACAAGTTTCATTGAATACATTGTAATGTAGACAAATTGAAAAATTGAACGCGAACACAGGTAGAAGATAATTTTATTGGTTATTTTATTTATTTATTTATTAATAATGATAGAAATAAATAAATAAAATAATAAATTGTTTTTTAAGAAACGCAACGAATGTTTTTTTTTTTTTTTTGTTTTAAAAGAAATATTTCTTACAGGAAAAAAAAAAAAAAAAAAATGAACCTCGAAACCTGATAGAATCTGAGCACACGCACGCACGCACGCACGCATTAAAGCATGTTTAACTCAAAGGCGGTTATAAGATTTTAAAAAAATAAAAAAATAAAATAAAATAATAATAATATTAACAGGCGTTTGTGCGCATCCAGAAATTGTCGCGTTATCGACTATGCGCAAGGGCCGCCCCTCGTTGGAGCCGCCCAGTCTCAAAGGCCCCGCCTGTGTGATCCTCCTCCCCTTCTTACCCTCGTACCGGCAAATTATTTGCCCCACGTTTTTTTATTTTTTTTTTTGTCCCCCCTTTAAATATCACCATTAATTATTATTAATATCACATATTATTATTATTATTATTATTTTTTTTTTTTTGTTTAACAAATTAAAAAAAAATTTTTTTTTTTCTAGCTCCGACCATTTGAAAATTATTTAAATTATCGAGTCGGGAATTTTGGCCGTAAATAATAATGATAATAATAATATTAATATTAAAAGGAATCTCTTCAAATTTATAATAATAATAATAATAATAATAATAATAATAATAATAATAAATGTTTTAAAATTAATTACAAACAAATTCTAATAAAAAAAAATGACGAATGCTAAGATTAATAATATCGTATAGAATCCATTTTTTTTTTTTTTTTCGTTTAGCATTAATTGATATTAATAATAATAATAATAATAATAATAATAATAATAATAATAATAATATAAATAAAAAAATGTCAAAATCATCTATCAATTTAAACTTTCTAAAATAACGTTTGCTACGGTTAAGAAAGAAACTCGGGCTCGGCAAAATATAATAAATCTATAAATAACATTTTTTAAATAATAATAATGATGATGATAATAATAATAATAATAATAATATTGTCTCAGAAGTGGTAAAGAATTTATTTTTATGCAAACCAAATTACGTTGGTTTTTAAATTAACTTAATTTTTTTTTTTTTTCATCTTCCCTCGTATTAATTAATTATATTATGATTTAAAGATAGAATATATCTTTTTAGATATCGTTTTCATTATTATTATTATTATTATTATTATCATAATTAATTTGATTAATATCATATGTTCGCATGTTAATTAAATGTCACAAGTAAAAAAAAAAAAAAAATTTTTCAAAATCTTATCAATCGATGATAAAAAAAAAAAATTTTTTTTTAAATTCGATTAATATTTGACATAACGAAAGCTCTCGTTATTCGCATGTTTCTTTTTTTGTTTAATAATTGTTATTTTCCGTGACATTTATTTATTTAAAATAAGTTTTATGTAATTATGAATTTAACTTACCACACTTCCATCCAGATCACTTTCATGCCCGTCCATCTCCATGGTTTGGTGATAAACGGGTACGGGTTCTCTGTTTTTGACCCTAATTTTGAATGTTTACGTCACAATTTAAAAATATGTCAACTATTCACATTCACAGTCATTCACAATTAACATAAGACCTACTCACGCGACCGACATTTAATACTGATTAATTTAACAAGCATAAAATATATTTTTATATTCCGATTAATTTAATTAAATTAAATTAAAAAAAAAAAAAAAAAAAAAATTTTAACAAAAACAAAATAACTACACATGTACGAATTTTAAATATATATATATCGTTAGAGGCGCGTTACGTACGGGTCAAGAACACGCGAGACTCTGATCTGCATCTTTGAATTCACCTGGTTTGCGCGCGCGCTCTATAATTCAAAATTATAAACTATTGTATTTAAAAAAATTATAAAAAGAAATGATTAATAATGTAATATCAATTGTAAAATGAGTTACTTAAAAAAAAATAAAAAAAACTTTTACATTGTAATAAGATATTTATAAGTATTGAATTTTTTATCTGATATCAATCATTTAATATTATCGATAAGTTAATAAATTATAAAAAGAACGAATCGACGTTAGAAATATAAAAACAATAATGAGTTTATTAAAAAAAAATTAATTTTTGCTTTTTTTTTAAATAAATTAAAAAAATAAAAAAGCTCTTATGAAATTATATACAAATGATAATACAAATTGCTTTGGCTGTTGTTGTTGTTGTTGTCGTGCTGTAATTTGATTTACTAAAAGATAAAATATATGAAATATGGTGACATTGTGTAAAAATGCCCATTAATTTCTTTCCTTCTTATTCCTTCATTAACTAAAGATAATAATGATTTCAAAAGGAATTTTTTAAATACTTGTTAATACTAATTACCACTAAGAAATTTTTTTTTATCAATTTTTTTACTACGTATAATAATTATGTAACCCTTTAAAATAAATGTTTTAGTTCATATACAATTTTTTTATCAAATTCTAATATAAATAAATAAATAATTTAATTTTAATATTGGCGATAAAGTAATTTGACAATGGCGAAAAATAAAAAAAAAATTTTTTTTAAATAATAATAATATTAAATACATAAAAAATTTTATTGTTTGAGTAAATAAAATAAAAATAATAAAAGAAAGAGAAATAAAGATACAAATAGAAATAGATAAAGATAAAGAATATGGGGGGGAATAGATATTTTTGTCTGTATATATATAATAATTATTGTATTTTAAATTAAGTTTATGATTTTTTCTTTCTCTCTCTCTCTCTTTTTTTATTTATTTATTTTGGTGTTATTATTATTAAAAAATTTTTATAATAAAATCTAAAATTAAAAAAAAAATTAATTTTTTCATTTACTTCACGTAAAATTAAATTAAAATTAATTTTTAAAAGTTTTA